GAAGGTGCTGGTCTCGGAAAGGGATGTAGCTGAAGCCTTATAGGACAAGTGTTGGCCTCACAGGAAAGGAAGATCTGGTGAGGAATCCTGTTCAGTCATTCCAGTATGTAAAATGGCAGGAAACTCACTTCATGTTCTGGGCTCCCTCTGGAGTGTTTTTCACTTACTCATGACCTTGCGATAGGAATCTACAGGAGTGAGTGGCCAGTAGCAACTGGCCCCACTCTGTACACTGTGACCCCACTCCTTAGCCACATTTGACCAGACTCGGGGAAGGCCCCTGACTCAAAGCTGTTTCAATCAGGGTCCTATCTAGAGTAATGGGGAGTCCAAACAGAGAGAAGCAGAAGGTCAATCTCTCTTATGATTGGCGTGATAACTTGTGGGCTTGGAAGCTGTGGGAGGCTGCCATGCACCAACCATTTGCACTGAGCGGCTGAGAAAGCCAGGCTCAAAGAAGAAAGACAGAGGCAACCCATCAGCCAAGTAGAGAAAAGGGGAGAGAAGGAGAAGCACCATTCCTCAAGTTCCGGACAGCCCTCTTCTCCCCAGTCATTCCTGGAGACTTTACCCATGGCTCGCTCATGAGTTTGGTTCCTTGAATCACCCCTGCATCTTACAATGAAATTTCTCTCTTTAGCTGAAGCTAGCTCCATTTGGTTTCTGTTGCTTGCAACCAAAGCTACTTTGAACAATTCCCATTCACCATTTTGAGCCTTAGTTTGTTTTGGCTGAAAAATCAAAATAGTGGTGCTGAGTCCCTGAATTGTTGCAAGAACAAAATGGATATTTTAAAAATGCCATAAAAATGGAAAGGACTATTATTTCAGGAGAGAGATAACATGGATGGAGGAAAATGTCTTAGACAGAAGTTTTGTTCTGACTTTTTGAAACATTGCTTTAAAATAAGAAAAATAATGATAGGAGGGCACCTGGGTGGCTCAGTTGGTTAAGCGACTGCCTTCGGCTCAGGTCATGATCCTGGAGTCCCGGGATCGAGTCCGACATCGAGCTCCCTGCTCAGCGGGGAGTCTGCTTCTCCCTCTGACCCCCCCCCATGCTCTCTCTCTCATTCTCTCTCTCAAATAAATAAATAAATAAATATTTAAAAAAAAGAAAGAAAAATAATGATAGGAGCTAATTAGGAATATATCCAAATGTATCAGACATTTTTCTAAGTATTTTTTACATACTAATTCCTTTAATCTTCATGTCAACCTGGTTTTGCATAGGTTCTATTCTTATCCCCCATTATGCAGATGAGGAAACTAATATATAAGAGAAGTTGAATAACTGGCCAAGATCATATAATACTTGATGGCAAAGTAATATTCCTGGCTTTTATACCTGTTTCCTCATCTGTAAAATGGCACAAATGATGGATACCCCAGGGTTGTGTTTAGAGAATTAATTAAAAATGTCTTCACAGTGTACATGACACACAATAATTGATTTGATAAATCTCTTTCATTAGCAAACTCACATTAATCTATTTCCTTACTGAAATGCAAATGAAGAAAATAAAACATGCAACTATGAAGAGGTAATTTTCAAATAAATAAAAGGCAATTCTGTTTACACAGCAAGAAATGGACTCATAAACCTCATAAACCCAAGTGGGGAGTAGGCATGGAAAGATGTAGACTGGATGAATGGAACAGGGCCTAAGGCAGCCTCCAACAAACAGTTTTCAAGCCCTCTCTTTCTAGGAGAATCAATATACCCACATTCTACAGACTTTTTTATCTTCTCAACTTTGAGAATGGCATGTCTCAATTGGATATAAAGTGGGGAAGGCAAGGAAACTGAGAATGGCTACACAGTACTATTTTCTGGGGGTTCCGTGAGTGTCATCTCACATTACAGGGGGAAAATGGGAGCTCTGGGAGGTAAAGCAACACACCTCCGGTCCAACAACCAGGAAGTTGAAGAGTCTGATTTCAAATCCAAGTCTCTCTGACCCCAAAGTCCTTGCTTTCCTCCTCCTACCTGGAGGTGCCTCACTGAACCAGATATCTATTGCTGCTTACCAAATTACCCGAAGTCCATCATTTGAAGCAACAATAAGCATTTATTGTCTTACAGTTTCTGTGAGTTAGGAATTCAAGAACAGCTTAGCTGGGTGGTTCTGGCCCAGGGTTTCTCGGGAGCTGCAGTCAAGGTATCAGCTGAGGCTACAGTTATCTACAGCTTTGACTGGGGCTGGAAGAGCCACTTCCAATCGCCAACATTGGCAACCTGGTCCTGGTTGTAGGAAGCGAGGCCTCAGTGCCTCTCCATGAGGGCGTCTTCATTGGTTGGTTGAGTGTCCTCACAGCATGGTGGCTGTCTTCCCCCAAAACAAGAAATTCAAGGGAAAGAGTGCCAGGGAAGATACCTTAGCCTCTGAGGTCCCATAGAATCCCTTCTACCACATTTTGTCAATTAGACTGAGACAGACTTACATTCAAGGGAGGGAAATTAGGCTCTGACTTTTGAAGGGAGGAGAATTATGGACATGTTTTAAGACCACCACACTTAGTAACCTGAGAACAAATTTGCAGCTCTGGTGTGAGTTGCCTAGCCTCTGCTTAAAAGGGGTCAGAGGTTTTCAAAACATCTCAGGCTAAACATCAAAATCCTCAACATGGCAGCAAGGCCAAGCATGCCCTATACACTGCGTGCCCCCAGCCTCAAACCAGGTCTTTCCCTTTGATGTTATACACCTGGGCTTCCATTCCCACTAAAATGCAGTGTTCCCTCCTGCCTAAAGGCCTCTGCAGAGATATTCCCCCAGCCTTCCATGCCCTCCCTTAACCTCTGTTGCCTTGTCAATATTCACTCATCCTTCAGATCCTGGTTCAAAGGTTACCGCTTCATCAAATCTTCCCTCATATCTCTGACCAGAGCAGGTCCAGTCAGAAGCTTTTATAAATCCTTGATTTTTTTTAATGGTATCTTCTTATTTGCAATTATGTATTGATGCGATCATTTGATCCATGTTTGCCTCTCCCACTAATGTTCAATCCACATTGAGACTACATCTGATTTTTTATTCACCAATATATCCCCAGAGCTTTGCACTATACCAAGGACATAATGTGTACTCAATCACAAACGTGTTGAATGAATGAATGAATGCCCAATGATCTTCTCATAGCTAGAGATGTGCAAGTAGAAGTGGAACTACTTCTTAGAAGAATGCATCAAGGGGGGTTCTAGCATCAGATTGGGGTTGACTGCATGACTTTTAAGGTTCTTTTCTTTCAGGAGAGTCATTGAGATTTTATGTGTCTATGATTCTTGGGTCCATTCACTGGCACGAAACTTGGCCTCTTTGGGTGACTCACCTGTGGCCCAAGTCTTGGGTCTTCTAGCTCCCAGGACACACCCTCTCAAGGGGCAGCCTATCTGTGGTTCAGATGACAGCCTGATACACATCAAGCGCAAAGAAAGCCTATGTTGGAAATCTCGGGGGGCAGCTGCCTAGGGTTCGAAGGAGGCTCTAGTGATTGGGCCCTCCGTAGCTCCTTTAAGAAGTTTTACAAGGTTAAGGTTTGCTCTAAAAATAAGCCCACAAGGCTTTTTAAAAAGCTTCTAAAACCATATGTCCACAACAGCCTTTTTTTTTTTTTTTTTTTTGAAGAGCCAGGGAGCTTTTAAAAGCTTCAAAAACCACTACTTGGCCTGCCTCCCACAGTGGGGAAAGTTCAATAGGCACTGTGTTGAAAACCAGACCTGCTTTTAAGTCTTCTAGAATCTGCCCCTGAAACATTCTGCTCCTATCAAAGGGGTTCAAGATGGAGATCAGTATGTGAGAGGCTTGATACCCTAGAGACCAGCTTCTTCCACAGTAAACAACTGCCCCAAATAACCACAAAACTGCAATTAGCTGCCTATAGAGAGATTATTTCAAGTCTTTCTTTCCTGTTTCCTCTCTGCTCCCATAGGTCTCTTTATACTATGGCCTGTTGTGGATTATTCTGTTCAGTGCATACACACACACATACACACACATACACACACACACACACACACCATGGTGTGCCCAAGAGAAAGTTCCACCCAGGTAGAGTGCCTACCAGGTGATGGGCAGCAAATGAAGAAGAGCATTTATTTGTTAAATTTTTCCCTTTCTTTCTTCTTTCTTCCTTTTTTCTTTCTTTCTTTTTTTCTCTCTTTCTTTCTCTCTGTCTCTTGCTTTCTCTTTTGTTTCTTCCCCTTTCATTTTTTCAATAAATGTATAAGTGCCTATTATGTACCACATACTGAATATCCATATTTCAGGTGGGACGGCGAGGGTCACGGAGTCATGGAGAGCAGTAGAAAGGGTATCTCAATGAATCAGAAGTGCATTCTCCCTAAAGATATGTTACAATCTGTAGGGGGACTGCAGAGGAGTACAGGGTATGATGCACCATCCTTCTGGCCTCTTGAATCCTCCAGCTTCAGTAAGGAATCCCTACTGACCCCTTTACATAACAGGGAAGCTGAGACTCCCCAAGAGTTTAAGATTATTGCTCGTGATCCCATGGGTCTATCAGCCTCTGTGAACATATGTCTTGCTGCTTCCCTAACAGAAGAAACATAGCCACCTGTAAATAGCTATAGTGCAGTAGGACAGGGCTCAGTGTTAACCAGAGCGGTATCCGTATAACGTGATAGGAGAGTGCAGAGGAAAGAGAGACACCTTCCAGCTACAAGGACCACAGAAGATCTTGATATGGCTCCTTAGAGCCATGGGAACGTGGATTCTCTCTTCTCCAAACCAGGGAGCTCACTTCAGTCTCCTCCTGGGCAAGTGAAATACGTCCAGTTTCTTCACAGACATCAAAGCATGTATACAGATGTTCACCCAGCTTATGCTCACACATCCTCAGTGACAGGGAGCTCACTACTTCTTAAGGCAAGACAATCCTGGACAATTCAGACTGTTGCTGAAGGCCATTGTTTCTGTTAAGCCACCCTCATGGTTCCATATTCTGAAGTGTGGAACCACGTCAGACTGGTTGACTCCCATGACTATAATGGCCCTTGACAGACATGAAGAAACTTTTCACATATTCTCCAGATGCTTCTCTTCACTAAACTAGACATCCCTGGTTCTTCATATTGGTATAAAGAAGCAGTGGGGTGAGTTGGGAACTACATGGGTTCTAGCAGTAGACTACTTGGATTTGACTACTGGCTTCGCCCACTCACCAACTGTAAATCTTTGGGCAATTTACTTCATCTCACAGAGCTATGGTTTCTTTATCAGCAAAACAATAACATCTATCATAGGGGATTATTGAAGAGATAAATTGCAATAATCCGTGTGAAACTATTATCAAAGTGCCTAGAATATAGTAAGCTACCTAGTGCCAAGGGCCCTTTTAAAATCTTGAGTAATTAGATATTTCTTTCCTGTTTGGGGACAGAAAGGAATGAGCAGAGAGCTCATTTTGAAGGATTATGGCACTGAGGCACTTAGGAGCCTGAGACGGCTGTGGACAAACTGAAATGTCTCGGGTGCATTCTGAATGATCACCTAGAGCAGAGAGTCTCAGACTTTGGCATGAGCTAGAATCTTCTGGAGGGCTTGTTAAAACAGAGTCCTGGGCCCACCCCCCAAAGTTTCTGATTCAGTGGGTCTAGAGTGGGGACCTATCATTTGCATTTCTAACAAGTCCCCAGGGGAGGCTAATGCTGCTGGTCCAGGGGCCACACTTTGAAAACCTCTGTCCTAGCACTTAACCAGTGATAAGTAACAAGTTAACCATGATTTTTCTGAGCACTATGCACACACATTTTATGTCTTCTCTCAGCCAGTTCTCCTAAACAGTCCTCCAAGGCAACTATTTAACCACCTCCTCTTCCAAGATAAGGAAACTAACACTGGGAGTTTGTAACTTGCCCTTTATGACACAATCAGTGTCAGAGCTGGGCTTGAAATCCAAGTCTGCCCCAAAGTCTGTGCTCTTCATCTCCATTTAACAAATGAGTAGACTGAGGCACAGAGAAGTGAAGTGTTACTTAGGTCACATATGTAATAACGTAGTTGAATTAGTTTTCTTTTTTTTTAAGATTTATTTATTTATTTATTTATTTGAGAGAGCGAGAATGAGAGAGAGAGAGAGAGTACATGAGAGGGGGGGGAGGATTAGAGGGAGAAGCAGGCTCCTCACCAAGCGGGGATCCCGATGCGGGACTCGATCCCGGGACTCCAGGATCATGACCTGAGCAGAAGGCAGTCGCCCAACCAACTGAGCTACCCAGGTGTCCCTTGAATTAGTTTTCAAACCAGATCTGTCTGACCCCAAAGTCCAAGGCCTTAACTCAAACTTCTGTGAGAAGCACGGTATGTTGAAGGCTGTATGCATTTCATTGTGGAGCCTGAGACCTCTCCCCCGTACAGGAATTTTATTTTGTCCTTTCCTTTTTGCTTGGCTTCTCTAGATAATTGCCTCCTTTCTCCAGGCTCTTGATGGGGTAGATGTGGTCTTTCTGGGGATCGAATGACCACAGAAGGAAAATAACTTAGAACAGGCCGTTCTTCATTCTTCCTCACTGGTATTTTTCCTTCAGAGCCTGGAAAGAAATGTGGCCTCTGCACACTTTAAATTGGGCCATCAATTATTTGGGTCCTGAATATGCAGAGCTCATTAGGGCTGTGTTGGCCACAGCAGAGCACCTGGGCTGACAGAAGTAAACTTGCCTCCACTGTTTCAGGCAGTGCTGCCCCCCAGAGTGCAGCCCAGCCTGGGATTGCCAGGCATTAATGCAACCAATTATTTCTGTCCTCAGTTACTAGGTCATAAATCCTGCCTGGCACTGAGTCCCTGGTTTCTGGTGGAAAAAGGTTCAGCTTTAGGAACGACTCTACCCTCTGGCTGGAGAGTGGTGTGATGTGGTTAGGACTCTTGGCCCCAAAACCAGAGTGTTGCGGGGGCCGCATTATGGCCTATCAATCAACAGCTGTGTGTGACTGTCACATGCCCGTTCCACTCCTCAGCTGTAAAAGCTGCCCAGCGCCTCCCAAGATTGTTCAAGTGACACCGTGTTTAAAGAAAGAGGTCAGGCATCTACAAGAGGTCACTGAGGACATCTAGGTTTATCTGAAGTCCCTGGCATGGTTGCCTAAAGCAAAGGTGCAGAGTGAATCCCAGGCTTCTTCCCGCTCTGGGGCCTTGGCACTTACTCTTACCTATCCACAAAGGTCTTCCTTCAACCCTTTGTATACCTGGCTTCTTCATCTCCTCAATTGTCGCCTCTTCCAAGAAGCCTTCCCCAGCACCTGTCTAGAGACCCCCTCTTTGGTCTCTGCACCCCAGTTACTGTCTGAAACATCAGTCTCGTCAGTATGAAACACAATGTATACTATCTTTCCCTTTCTTTGATTGCAAGATCATTCTCTAATGATTTCACAGGCTGCCAGGTCAAATCATCTTTTTGCCATGTTCTGAATGAGAACCTGCCTTGGCCCCTCTGTGAACTCCACTCCCCTGAGATTGCAAAGCTCACTCTTTAAAAACTGTATCTTGTGACTGCTCATCTGCGCAAGTCAGAATTTTCCAAACTGAACAACCAAAACAACATGCAGAAATCATTGGGAACAGAGTGTGATACCTGATGTAAAACGCTTGTATTCGTAAACCCAGCTTTACTGTTTTTATTCACGGTCATTACATGTTATAAATCTGATCTATTGTTTTCAAAAAGGCAGGGAAAACAAAACGGTGAAAGACAATCCCTGCTTTGAAGGAACTCGAAGGGAGAGATACACAAAGTAGCAGACAATTGCAGGGCCATTTGCCATAGAGGTAATCAAACAATACAGAGGCTTGCGAGGTGCAGAAGGGCAGAAAAACAGCATGAGTGAAATCAGGACTGAGAAATAGGACGGCATGTTCAGGGACTTAAAAGTAGCCCAGGGTAGCCTGAACAGGAGGGGAAGGGAGTGAGAGAACCCACAAATAGCCCCAGTGCTTCTCCCTCCCCACGCTTATTTGGGGGTTCTGGCTATGTGCTCCTATTGTCTATCTACCTGTCTGTAGCCCAAATTCCAGATTCCAAGTCCCCAGTACCAAGCATAGTACCTTCCCAGAATCAACATTCGGTTACCCTTTGTTGAATAAGCTTTAAATAAAGGATCAAGTTCTCGGGGTTCCCCAGCTATCACCCTCTCCCCTACTATAAAGAAAATTCACTTGGGAGTCTTCCTTTTCCCTCTCCTTCCCTTGACAGAGGAAAATCAGAATTTTTTTTAATATATTCTCATTTCCAAATGATAAAAAAGTGGATGGGGGCTGAGTGAGGAGCTCTCGGGCCTGGGAAACACCCAGCTTGTTGCCGGTACTTGTGTGTGCTACCATCAGGCAGTCAGGGGACACAGGTTAGATGACCAGCCCTATCTCTTTACCAGCTGCTTGCTGTGGACAAATGACATATTGTCTCTGAACTTCACTTTATACATCTGTGTAACGGGGATACTCCCCTGAAGAGTGGGAAATCTCTGTGAGAGGACTCTAGGAGACATGTGTCATAAAATGCTCTCCATGCAGATTTATCATAAGGAACGTGGCAAGCACACACATCCCCCCTTCAACTTCCAGGCTTCCTCTTTCCTCTCACTGCCAGCTTCTACCCAGATATGCCCATGGAAGAAATGCACTGGCCCCAAAGACAATAACAAAATAGAATTCAGTGGGATGAGGGGGAGGAGGAGAAGAAGCCTTTCAAATTACAAGTGAGAAATCTCCAACTGCTTTTTCTTCCTCTTTACATTACAGCTTATATTGGGGTCACCTGTTGGAAAGAACAGTGTTCTGGAATCCTGGGAAATGAGCTCTGCTGAGAAGTCACTGTGTGACCTTGGTCAAGTCACTGTGCTCTCTGAACTCTGCTCCGCTCTAACAAAGGGGCCAGACCAGGGAGTCCCTAAAGAAGAGTGTTGTGTAAGAAAGCACACCCTAGACCAGACAGACCTAGCTTGGAATCTCAATTCCTGTGGCCTGCCAGCAGAATAAACTAGATACATCTCAGTTTCTCCATCTATAAAACAAGGTTATTAGATATAACCTAGCTAACGTGGTTATCCTGAAGCTTAAATAAAATAGACTACATAAGAGATTTAATAGTGTGCCTGGTTTACAGTATTTAAGAAAAGGAAGTTGCTATATTATTAAAATTATCCTCATCATTAGTGTTGTTACTCTCAAACCGTTTGGGATTTTAAGTTGAATGCAATCTCAGCAGTGGGTGTGTTTTGAATGGCCCCTTTCTCCCCGGGGGCCCACAGTAATACCCTGAAGAGAGGGTGTCCATCCCATCTGGCATATAACCTGAGAAGGGGAACGATGCCCTCCTGTGTCCTTTCCCTGGAGTCTCATATTTTTCTCTATGCCCTGCCCTGTCTGGCTCAGTTCTGCGAGCTGGAGCATCTGCACTCTGGGCCCATACTAGTCAGGCAGCCAGGAGGGAGAGGAAACAAGAATAAACATGTTTTGCAAGAGCAGGGCTAGTTTAAGTGAAAGCAATTCTAAATAAGGACAATACAAAGCCTTGGCTGCCTGTTGGCAGCTTCCTCAGCACAAGGGTTTGCCATGGAAAACCAAAGGTCAGACTGATAAGCTGGGGGTGCCTGTAGGCAGGCTGGCAGGAAGCTTATGACAGGATCCCCTCACCCAGTATTTGAACCCATCAAAGACAAGGGGGTGTGGCCACAAGGGCAGGGAATTCAAAGACCCAACAGGGGTTCCAATCTCAGCTCCTCTGCTGTGACTTAAGGCATGTCTCTTTATCTTGCAAAATGTCAGATTCTTTATCTGTATTTAAAAAGAAGAGAAAAGAGAAGAGGAGAGAAGAAGGAGGGAAGAGAAGAGAAGAGAAAAGAAGAGAAGAGAAGAGAAAAGGAATAAAGTCTGCTCTGGGTTGCCATTAAAAATTTTAAAAGACTATTAAGTCAAGGTAGTTATAAACTATAAAGTGATTTGCAAAACTTGGAGTTAGAACCATGTTTTAATCTCACCTCCACTGCTTGCTAGCCATTTGATCCTTGGCAAGTCAATTTCTTTTTCTTAAACTCACTTTCATATTTTGTGTGTTTCATACCTGTCCTGGGTCCTGATGATCCCAGGCACCATCAAAGCAACAAAGTATGGTAACTTGGTGTATTCGTTTCCCGTGGCTGCTGTAACAAATTAACACAAGCTGGATGGCTTAAAACAACAGAAATTTATTTTCTCACAGTTCTGGGAACCAGAAGTATGTATGTTTCACTGGTGGTTCTAGAGGAAAATGGGTTCCTTGCCTCATCCAGCATCTGAGGTTTTCCAGCTTTCCTTGGCACATCACTCCAATCTCTGCCGCCATGGTCACATTGCCTCCTCCTCTTCTAGTGGGTTTTCAGGTCTTCCTCTGCCTCCCTCCTATAAGGACACTTATGATTACACTGGAGGTCCACTGGGAAATCCAAGATAATCTCCTCATCTTAAAATACTTGGCTTAATCTCATCTATAATGTTTTTCCTATATAAGGTAACATGTACAGGTTCCAGGTATTAAGACCTGGTATCTTTGAGTTCCATTATTCAGCTATACTTAGGGATATTTAGGTAGTAGTATCCCTCTTACATTTACTTACTTTTCCCTGATTATTAAGGAGATATAGAGTTGCAGAAGGACCCCACCACTGGAAAAATCTTGGGATTGAAGCTGAGAATTAAGGATTGTGGAAGTGTGCCAGAAATAATAATGTTGAAACTCTTCAACTTACCCTGCATAGAACCCCATGTTAGTTATCTATTTATCCCAAGCAAGTGACCCAGCAGAGACACTAATACAAGGTTTGTAAGGAAATATTTGCATAAATTTGAATTTCATTTTGGGTATAGCAGAGTGGTTGTGTGGGTAGAATAAAATCAGATAAAACCTTAGTGAAACCATACCCCGTTCCTTATTAGCTGTGAGACTTTGGGCAAGTTACTTAGCCTGAGAAGTTTCAGTGTTCTCATACATAAAATAAAAATTATTATAGAAACTACCACATAGGATTTTGCAAGGAACAAATGAGATGATCCGTATGAAGAAATTTCATAGTGCCTGTCATGTGATAAGTATTTGTATAATATATATGTTAGATATTATTAACTTTAAAAAGTTTTCAAATTTAATGTACCCTTTGAATGTACCAAGAATTGACTAATTAAGTGGTGGGGGGGCAGGGAGAGATGGTTAGTTTAGAGAGAAATAAGGGCACTAGCAATATATCTTCAGACTTATGTTAAATAATTCCAATGAATTGTTTTCCTCCCCATCTTCAACCCAGATTCCCACAAGGACCAGGATTGGGCTTTGCCTCTAGGTTTTATTCCTTGGTAAAACACTTTGATCAGTTGAAGTCTTTCTTTCTTTAGGAATTCCTTCAATAAATACTTTCTGAGCACCTTTGACCTAGAATCTTTCTGAACTCCTTTCCACTGGGGATGGGGAGTAGGGCAAGGACTGAATGAGCCACTGAGAGTTCCATGGGCCCAGCGCTTTTTATGACATGGTTCTAAGCCATAGCTTAGGACAAGATTGCCAACTGAAAGAATAATATTTTCATCCAGGAGAACTAGAAGAGATGCTAGAACATAGGTATCAAGGCCCAAGGAACCAGAGGGCCTTAGGAAGGTGAAGGAGTTGGGTGAGAAGAAGCACCTAGAATATATGTTGTTGCTATAGTTGGCTCTTACACGCTTGTTTTGTGTGGAAGAGCAGGCTGCATTTAAAGGACTTCTTTTGAAAGATTGCATGTTCTACCAAGAAAACAGATATGTACACAACAAATTTAAGATGGACTGGGAAAGATGCAGTTTTTAGAGGTGTTACAGGGCAGGGAGATGAAGGGAACAAGTCCAGATTGAGGGCTAGGGAAGGGGTTGAATTTGGAACAATGTTCCAAAGAAAGTGACATGACATTTCAATGGGTTTCACACTGTTTCCTGTAACCTCTAGCCCTTTCAAAACATACTTTGAAGAATCAAATACGAGAGACCTCAAGAGATTATCTGGTTTAGACCCCTGCTTTCAAGGGCTGTTTATCCCCATTTTATAGATAAAGTTGCTAAGGCCTAAAGAAACACAGGAAATGGTGGTGGGGAGAATATCACATAGAACTTTCTGCTTCTTAATAGTCTCTACTTCCAGACAGGATGGATAAGGAGGAAGTAGAATTTTTTTTCTCATTTTAATTGCTAGATCCCTTGTATCAGCTAAAAGTATGATCAATTGAAAGTCACAAAAATCCAAATAACAATAAATAAATGTATTCCCAGCTCATGTAAAAGAAATCTAGAGATACTTGTACACAAATGTTTATAGCAACACTATTTACAATTGTCAAAAAGTAAAAACAACCCAAATGTACAACAACAGATGAATACATAAATAAAATATGGTTTATACATACAATGAACTATTATTTAGTCATAAAAAGGAACAGCATAGTGATACATGATGCAGGGTGGATGAATCCCCAAAACATTATACTAAGTGAAAGAAACCAGATACAAATGGTCATATGTATTATGATTCCATTTATATAAAGTGTCCATAATAGGCAAGTCCATACAGAATGAAAACAGACTAGTGGTTTCTAGAGACTGAAGGAGAGGGGAATGGAACTGCTTAGTGGGAGTTTCCTTTTGGAATGATTAATATATCTTGGAACTAGATAGAGGTGATTGTTTCACAACCTAGTGACTATACTAAATGTCACTGAATTGGACACTTTGGTAAATGGCTAATTTTATGTTACACGGATTTTATATCAGTTTAAAAAAATAAAAGAAATCCAGAGTTGGGAAATTCGGAACTGGTAGGCAGCTTTATGACAATTTCCAGGCTCCCTCAATTTTGTAGTTCTGCCATCCATAGTTTTCCCTTCTGCCTCATGGTTTAAAATGGATGCTCAAACTCCAGTGATCACAACTGCATTCCAGCTGTCTGGAAGGAGAAAATAACAAAGAAGTGGGATGAGAAAAGGCCCCCATAAATTGAGATTTGAAAAATGTACAGGAATTATCCAAGGGAAGAGGAATAAGGAAGAGCTTTCCAGAAGAAAGACTGGAAGAGTGCAGGTCTCAGGAAACTTCGGTGGTAGAGGTGCTAGGAGAAGTCTAGTGAATCTGGCACTGGGGGAATGAGGAGGAGACTACTGGAGAGGGGGGCATCAGCCCTGTCTGGCTCTGGAACTCTGTGATCTTTCCCCTCTCCATCCCAGTTCTTGCTCGTCTTACCATACCATACTCCTGAGCTGTAAGGAAATTGATTTAATAAAAATAATCAAATGAGAAAAGAGTCTCTGGATGGCCTTTGGTGCACATAAAAGCACACATTTTATCTTCCCATCAAGGACTTCTTGAAATTATTTACTTCTCAAAGACAGCTGCCAAGGACCCCATGACTCAAGGGTCCTCTCCTGCCTCCTGACAGTGCGTTTTACTGCCGCCCTTCCAGAGGTCTTCTCCATTGTCTCCTTCCTCCCATGACCTCATTCTTAGTGCCAATGAGAGCCAAGCTAAATCATGCAGACTTACAGCTGGGGCCAGCTGCTGAGATGTGAACTGGTTATCTGTCTCCCCAGGCCCCAGGGGACAGCATTTGGTAGAACAGGGAGGAGGTAGCTGTTGCCTTGGGTCACCAGTGCCCCTAGCTCTCTCTATTTTGGCTTTGATAGGAGGTGGGATTTTACAAGCCAAGGAGCAGGGCCAGGGCCAGCTTGCTCTGGCAAAACCTCTTACACCTAAAGAGAGAAAGAGAGAAACTGCTGTGCTCAGCTGGGGCTCCGGATGCTTTGGCATACCCTGAAGATGCCATGGTTTGTTGTGAAGATAGAGAATGGCAGAGCTGAAGGACCTGAGTCCCAGAGAGGTGAGACCACTTTCCCAAGGGCAGACATTGAAATTCACAATAACCTGGTCAGCTCAAGGATTGCAGTTCAGCTCATTAACTGGCTTGTGGCACTAACCCAAGAGAACTCCCTCCAAATTGCTGGATTTTGACCAGAGGAGCTGAGGACAGAGGTGACAAAAATGCAAAGATTAGTAGAGAATGAGGGCTGTAATACTGCTGTGT